ACATAAATATAAATACTAGAACTTCCTGAATAAAACAAATTTTTATGTTGATTTGACTTAATAATGCATTCTTTAAATGTATAATTACCTACAAAATATAATCCAAATATTCCGCTTCCCAAATCTACATTTAAATTATTCAGAAATACACATGAATATGATTCTGATGGAGAATATGAATAAAATCGAAATATGACTTCACCGGAAGTAGCTTTATGTCCATTGAAATAGCTGTAATTTATGCAAAAGTAATCACTTTGCTCTATATAAAATGCAGGATTATAATTTGCTATGTTATTGGTATCATTTACCAAAGAAACTAAAACATCTCCATTTCTAAAATAAAAAGAGTTATATTGAGAATTTCCTGAGTGTATTGATGAAAGGAGAATATAGTTTTTTGATGAAGAATCCGAAACAACTGTTTTGCAATATGATCCTTCATTTAATGTACTACATTTTGAACTACAGACTTGATAACTAATACATTGTCCTTGGTTCAGGTATATGCATCCTCCGTGTTTGGAGGATGTATTTGAATTTGAACAACTTAAGAATGTTGATGTACTAACAAGAAGTTTTGTGTTTTGACTTCCTTCAATTCGAATAACACTATTTGGATTAAGGAATGAAAAAAATGTTTCGTCAACAAAACAATTTCCTGCATCATTAATTGTTTTGTTCTTGTTATACGTAGCAGGAGTTGTATCACTCCCATAATACTTATTCCATACTGAGATATCACAATTTAACCAAATGAATCTGATTATTATGAACAATATCGTTTTTTTTATGAATTTTTATAGAATTTGATACTTTTAAGGGTTAACGGTCCATTTTCATTACCATTCAAAATTGAATACTAAAATGTGAATTATCGTTATCTTTTTTTTAAGATTTTTTGTTTGATAAATAACCTTCCAGAGACTTCAAATACGATCTTATATATTTCATGATTCTTTAGTGTTTTCAAAAGGTTTGAAGTTCAATTTTCCCCAAAAATCCACTCATTCAGTAATGCCTATCATAGTATAATTCATTTGAAATAGTTATATTTTCACACAATACTAGCGAAGCCGTATTTTCTCACTTAATCAACTTCAAAATTGGAAATGTATATACTCTGAACTTCAATTCTTTTTGTCAATCTATTTTCAATGTTAGTAAACAAACTCCAACTCCATGAGGTTTTCAATTATATATGCATGCATTCAAATTCTAATGCTAATATAAATTAAAAACTAAGAATCAAAAAGAAGAAGAATATACTAGAGAATTACACTTTTCCGGCATTTTTTGAGGTTTCGCACTCATGACAAAATGCCAGAAATGTGTGAAATAATATTAAAGAGTGAATACTTTTATTTACTGCCAATTGTCAAAATATGATACAGACAAGGACGTATGCCAAATTTAAATTCAAGTGCATTTTTATCTTCAAGGCATCTCCGATATCGATCTTGCAAATCATCATTCATTATAATATTTTCTGTTTGACATTCTCTTGGAGGATAAAGTCTGAATTCAAGAGAAAGACTATTTGTTGTTTCTACTTCTAGCACTGCATCTCCGGGATAACCTAAATCTGTTCCTTCAATTAAGCAATTGATAAATGAAACATAAAAATCAGAATTAGCACCAACAGAATAAATTAAATTGGAATATTTGTTGTACTTAATAATGCATTCTTTAATTATAAAATTACCACTACCCTCAAAGTAAAATAATACATTTTCTGATTCATTAACGGAATTATTCAAAAATATGCAAGAATAAGTTTCGTTTGAAAAAATATATTCATATGCAAATCTTGCATGACTTGATGTTGCTTTATTTCCTCTGAAATAGCTGTAATTAATATAAGTCTTACAACGGCCAACAAAAAATGCAGTTTTTCCTTGTGCAGTGTTGTCAGTAACATTTACATTTGACACCGAGTTAGTATATCCTTCAGATAAACAAAAAGTACTATATTCTGAATTTCCCAAGTGAATTGATGTAAGATAAAGAGAAGTATTCGATAAATATCGAGCAGATACTGAACAATATGATCCTATATTTAATGTATTACATATTGTACTACAAACTCGATAACTAATGCAATTGCCTTTATTCATGTATATACAACCTCCATTTGATGAGGTTGTGTTTAAATTTGAACAATTTAAGAATGTGGAAAAACTTACAAGAAGTTTTGTGTTTGAGTTTCCTTCAATTCGAATAACGCCATTTGGACTAAGAAATGAAAAGAATGTTTCGTCAACAAAACAATTTCCGGATTCATTGATTGTTTCATTCTTGTCATATGTAGTATGGTCTGTATCTTTATCATAATAATAATTCCATACTAAGTTATCAAAATGAAAATAATGCAATAATTCTTTTTTTAACTATGAAAGCGCATCACGGAAAACAAGATCGACGATTTTCGAAAATGATTGTCTCAAAAAAGATCTAAACAATAGATTTCAAAATAAATAATAATGATAGAGAATAATTGACGATAAAACTAATTGTATTATACAAGATAGCTGCCAATTGGAGTAATAAATTAGAGTACTCCAATAAATTCTTTCATTTCTGGAATAGAGAGGAGAAAGGAAGCTATCAGTAAATTTCTAGGATGTCACTTTTCTTGAGACTGCCAATATTCAAAAATATTAAGGGTGCACCCGTATGTACGTTTATTTGAGAGGAGGAGGATTACCCTCTCAATTTTGAGGGATTCGTTAGTTTATTTTCTCGATGAATATGCAATAAAATTTGATTTTTACCTTATCAATATACTTCATATAATATACACATGTTCATGTAAAAACTTTTTTCCAAAATCCTCAGGAATTAAGGGATTTTTGAATTTTAATAATTTTTTTCGAATTTTTTCGAAAAAAAAATATTTTCAGAACCGCCTTAACGGCTAAGATTTAGGAACAATGTTAAGTATCAAAAAGAAAGGAGGTCTGATATAGACAACATATATCGTTGAAGGTTGAAAAATTCTCTAATATTTGAGCCCAAAATTTCAAATTTTAATTTTTTGAAAAAAGAGGCCACCCGTATGTACGTTTATTTGAGAGGAGGAGAATTATATTTTTGAAAGGGTGAACCATTATGAATATGTTAATTATATAATAATATGTATTATTATAAAAAAGAAAAAATAAAGCACGTTAAAATTTTTCTTTCTTGATTTTTTACAAATCTACTTAGAATTATGCAAAATATGACTAAATAATTATAAATTTCAAGTTAAATTTTAATTTTGATAAATAATTTAAATTTCAAAATATCAAGTTCAGTTCGACTATGTATGTAGTAATTCCTCAATAAAGTGCCAAAACCCTATTAAAACATATGAACATTTTCAACATTTTAATGTTTTTATTTAAAAATTTGATGGAATATGAGCTTCAAACAATTATTATGTAAATAAAAATAATTAAATATATGTATTTATTCGTATTACAACCGTAGTAAGTCGATTCTTCCTTTCTTCTACTGAGTTTTGAATTTGATTTCGAATTGTAAAGAGATTCAAAGGGAAAATACTAGCGGATAAAAACTAACTCCATGAAAGCGTCATAATGGAGTCAAGTTGTATTTTTTGATATTTTTTGCTTTTCGAGCCTAAATAGGTAGCCAAGATAATGCCTAAAAATAAGGTTCTAAATTCTGAAGTTTACATGATCCTCTCGTGTGCACCCTTAATCTGAAACGTTTTTCAATTTTATTATCAGTTGTTTAATCTTATATTTCAAAGACAATTTATACAAACCAATAATTCTATAAACACACAAAATCAATATCATAGCCAATATTTTATCACCAAGACTATAACAAAGTGAAGATGAGACATATAAAAATTTAATTTTGGTGACACTTTTCGTTCAAGTAAGCTTTTAAAAGTCATTAATTTATTCATTTCATAAAAATCAAAAGAAATTTTAATTACATTAGGATAAAAACTAAATAATATGAAAAACTTAAATCCAAACATTGTTTATTAGCTTTACATGAATTTGAAAAATTAATTTTATTTTTGGTGCTTTTAACCCACAAACTGACTTCAGTAACTGATCTACCATTTGCCGGTATTTTGTAACTATTCCCACCATATGCAGTATTGTATCTTCCAATCGCAAATTGCCAAACACCACCAGGACATCCATCAATGAAGGAGCCTGATGAAATTGAAGGATTGGATTTCACTAAACCTCCCCAATAACAATTGTCTCTTTTCAGATCGGCATAGATTCGAATAGGATTATAACCGGTAACATTATATGGGGTGAAAATTCCGGTATAATTGTCTGTTTCATTTATAGGATTATTGGTTTGTTGCCAGTAATTGTAGATTGAAAGTTCTGGATAGTAAAGAAGAAAAGTGAATTTAGAGTCTGAATCTCGTTCGTCATCTGAGAGTTCAGACAAGATAGAATATTTATTTTCTTCATCAACATTTAATACTTCTAAATTATTATTAAAGTAAACATCTGGAGAATTTTTATGTTCAAAGACCTTTAAGAATACATTATTATCAAAAATACTATATTCCCTAGGTTAGGTATGAGGGGCTTCCAGGGGCTGCGCCCCTTCTAGCCCTAAGAAATTTTGCCCAAGACCCAAGAGGAGGACCGAACCCCAGCCGACCAGCCGGTGACTTTTTTGTAGAGCACTCAAAATAGTATAACTTTGTCCGGACAAGTAAGGGTCTATCGTCGCTACAGGAAAAGTTACAGGCGTTCCAAGGAAGTATACTTTGAGAAGCCTTTCCCCCCTTATAGAATGAGATAGGACGGTTATTTTACAGAACTGACAACACTTTGACCGAGTAGTTTTTTGTGCTGAACAAAAAGTGTCATATAAACATCTGTCAAAAACCGTTTTTTACTTCACTTAAAATGCCACGTAAGCTACGTAAGAATATACGTAAGAGGAAGGGAGCATTGAAACATCCAATAGTAAAACTGACACCACAACAACAGTTGCAACAACAAATGATGAATGACCCCACTATGTTGCAACAAATGTCAAGCAACCCTATGCTTTTAAACCGAGTTATTGGTGCACAGAGTGGAGGTTTAAGAGCGGCACTTTTAGCGAAAATGGCAGGCTATGGTGGAGCTGCAGACGGAACAGCTTATAACCCTCAAAGTCAAATGAATTTGAGTTCACTCAAAAATCAAATAACAGATGTCAAAAAGTCAAACATAGACATACAGAAACAAATAAGTGAAAACGAAAAGAAACTAGAATATGACAGACACACAAAGAAACTCAATGAGTTAAACGTAGAGAAAAAGAAGAAAGAAGAACAACTGAAAGAACTAAGTACAGAGGAATATGCGAAAAAAGTGTCAGAAAAAGCAGCAGAAGTAGCAAAAATGGAACAAGATGTTATAAATTTGAAAAACCATACTACTCAATATAAAGTACTGAAAGATGAAGAAATAAAACAAAAAGCCCTGAAGACATATATGGATAGCGATGAGTATAAAAAAGAAGTTGAAGCAAATGTAAAGGCAGAAAAACTTTTACAGTTGCAAAACCAAACCGTACAGTATGAAAACTTAGCACAAGAAAGTAAAAATAACGACGCAGCCATGCAAAAGGCAATGAAAAGCGCAGAATATATAAAAGCTAATAATGACTGGTTAGATGCCCAAGCCAACGCTAAAGCAGCCCAACTTATAGGGTCAATAAGGACAAAAATACAAGCGGATGAAGACAGTTCAAATGAAGCTTTAATGAATGCTGACTTTAAGAACGCCTTCGAAGCTCTTCATAGTAAGGTGAAACTAGTGAACGACTTCTCATCTGGAAAGAAACTGAAGTCTGAAGGTTTCGACAAAGAGTTAAGAGAAGTAGCACAAAATATGACGAAAATAACAGATGCAGCAACGAGACAGGCAGTTCAAAGTGCCTATGACGCCGTTAGAGCAACTGTTGTGGAAAGTCAAGAAAAATAGTTACAACAGACCAAAACAGACCTAGTAAATGCTTTCTTAAAAACGAAAAGTCAGGTAGGACATTATGCTGCAGATGGAACATATGTGCCAGCTGGTGGAACTTATATACCAGCTGGTGGAGCTTATATACTAGCTAGTGGAACTTATATACCACCAAACCCTCCAAGAGAAGCACCTGCACCAGGACTACCTAAAACATTTACATCGTCACATGGACAGACACAGACACAGGCATGCACCAAAACCAACACAACAACCAACACAAACAACCAAACAGTTCAAAACACTGCACCACAACCAACAGTTCAAAACACTGCACCACAACCAACAGTTCAAAACACTGCACCACAACCAACAGTTCAAAACACTGCACCACAACCAACAGTTCAAAACACTGCACCACAACCAACAGTTCAAAACACTGCACCACAACCAACAGTTCAAAACACTGCACCACAACCACAAACAGAGCAAGGACATAAAAGAAGTAGAGAACAAGGAAACCAAGAATTCTTAAAAATGCTTAAGGAAAATTATGGTTACCCAGATACTCTTGACTTTAGTGACAGATATAAAAAGCTATTAGAAAGTTCAAGGAAGGAAATACTGACCCGAACCTATTTAGCTTTATGGTTCAGCACCAAATGGGATATAATTTCAAACCTGGAAAATACAAGCTCGCTAAGGGATATGATTTAATAGCATATCATCCAAATGACATGACTGAATTTACTCCGAGATATTTGGTGTCAGAGCTAAATGATAATTCAACTCTCTTCATGAAACGCGTAAAAAATAGAGACGGAACGAAAGAAGAAAGGTTTATGAGTCCGGATGACTTAATAGGGAACTTTTAAAAACGGTCTCGGAATATATGAAATGCCAGCAGATGAGGTACAAGAAACTCCACAGGAAGAAGTTCAGATACAACCAGACATGAAGAAATAGTTTCAGCAACAACAGCTAGAAGAGCCTGAAGGAAACGAACAAGTCCTCCTTTGGAAACTAACTTCACAGAACTAGATGAAGATTTGGAACAGCCGAAAAATCTTGACCCTCAACAAGTGTATGCGGAGAATATGGAATCTTTCCAAGAGTCTAAGAAAAATTCGGCTGACATAGTAGAAGAATATCGAAAAATGTTCGCCGACATACAAAAGACTCCAACATCAGATGAAAATATTCAGCATAGAATGGAAGTACTGAAAGAAATGTACGCAAATACAATAATCCTTTTTACTTACGACCATATAACGTTCAATCTTTGGCTGAACTCGGTGAAAATAAAAGGTTAAATTTCACCAAAACATATAGAAATGAAACATTGTTTAAAGTTCATTCAGAACCTAACCAATATGGAAACAAACCTACTTTTGTTTCTGCAGACTATGGAACTACAATGAGATGGGGTCATAAAGCTAATCCGGATAGGTGGTTCATAAACTTACAACCTCAATTCCAAGAAGTTGTAGACGCAATGGAAGTGAATGGTGAACCAGATATAGCTGGTATTTTCAGCGCGGCTTTAATGCCATTGAAAGATATGAAACATGCAGATATTTTGGACCAGTATGAAATGAACATGGCTGAAGGAAATATAACACCTGACGTTCTAGAACATTTATCTCAAAGAACTACACAGAACCATAGAGATGGTATATTTGGTGAAGAGTTTAGAAAGAAAGTTAGGGAGAGAGAAGGAAGAGAACCTATTGTACATGACCTTGCAAACGAAAGTTTACAAAATGTCATAAAAACTTACTTTGCAGACAATGAACCGAGAAGGGATGAATATTTAAGAAAACTCAAATGGACAGTACCAAATGAAATGTTAGTATTGAAAAACATGTCCTTGACAAAATAAAACCAACTACAGAAATAAATGACGCAAGACTGAAACATTGGGTAAAAGCTTTCCCATTCACAAAAGATATTGTTGGTAACATGGAAAGAAAACCAGAATGGCTACAAAAACATATATTTGGAAACGAGCTTATTCCATATGGACAAGCTCTGTTTGAAGAGCTTGAACCGGAAACTCAGGAAAGAGTCATGCAAACAATACGCGAAGACTCAAATACAAACTATGACAAAATCTTTCTAGGATATAGGTTACCTGAGATGGGCGACCAGAGCCCAAAGGCAAAAAGGACATGGGAAATTTTACAACATACTAGGTGAACATGAGGCAAAGATGCAACAACTTGAAGCAAGAGGGCAAGTTACCAAAAGCGACACCAAAGAAGAAGAGTAGAACAAAGTGAAATAGTGAAGAAGTAACTTCATCTAGTGAAAGTAGTGGCAATGAAGGAAAAAGAAGAGTTAAAAAATCAGTCAGGAAGAAAGTAAAGCTTGGTCTGATGTGGGTTCTATTATGACACATAAATCCAACTATTCTATATTTTTACCCATATGAAATGTACGCCGCTCAGAATATAACGCCAACAGTTTTGGATGCCATGAACGGAAATGTTTCCGAATGGTATAAACGAATGCGACAATGCCATTAGAAGGTCAGAATAGTTCCTGAACTTACGAATATACAACTGCTGTTTCTTATGGAAACGTAGGTGAGTTTGGAGAAGGTTCTTCAACAACAGTAGATATTGCTTGCGAAGGTTTCATATTATTTCTATGACAACTCATTCTTATACGTGGAACAAGACATTGAATAAAACCTTCTGCCAAGTTGTCTGCAAGAAAGGTTGCAATGGAATTTTTCTATGTCGGATACCAATATGCTCCAGAAGTTTTCATGGGATATAAGATATATTCTAACTCTGACTTAGTTCAACAGTAACATGGGCAAACTATGAATGGTTCGCTTTGAGAAACTCAGTACAACCACAAGCTAGAGAACAAACAGACCAGTATGCAAATATTGAGAAATAAGAAGACTTGACCCTTAACGTTCAGGAGTTTATGTTAACCTTCTGGTTCAGATGGAACTGCTGCCACTAAAGTAAAACTGAAACTTAGAGTTCCTTTGTCATCTTTCCTCATCTTCAGGTTTTTAAGATACTTGCCAAACTGGGCAGGAAAAATTTCTATCGAACTTACTCCAAGCAAAAATAACTTAGTCATTGCACCAACACAAGACCCATTCACTATTACAGACGTAAAGGGAACAAATCAAACGTCATTCGCCGAATTTTGCAAAGGACAAAGTGACTTAGACTTTGGTTTCTCAAACTTCAACAATGAAGTAAACTTTATTTCAATGCTGCTGGAACTGCTTGGGACCCAGTTAAGTTTACATGCGAAAAATTTGAATGCAAGAGAATAGAAAGCAGACTTGCAGTCTATATGTTGGACCCAGATATTTCAAATGCTTTAGCTGCCAAATATATTGCAGTTCCACTTATGTTCCCTATACACCAAATATCTGTCAAAGACTTTGCAGGTGAAGTTGGAAACCAAAATCCAGGAGCCGCAGGTGCAAGAACAGATATTGCTTTAACAACTGCAATGAAACATGCAGATACTATGTTTGTACTGTTCGACGAACTATAAATGACTATTCTTGTTTCTACAACCCTGGTATTAATATATCATATAAACATAGATGGCAAATATTATCCAGAGAAGAATATTCTACAGTTGAGGATATGAGGTCATACAACTTGACATTAGAATGCTATGAACTTTAACAACATCACACAAACCATTAACCTGAAATGCAAAGTTCTATTATGCATATGTGAAAGTATGGACTCATACAGGAGGTCAAAAAACTCAATATACAAATGGAGACCGTTCAAACTTTTGGCTTGGCATTCCATTTGCTGACTCAGAAGACTTTATGGTGGTATTTCAACTGTTGGTACTGTACAAATACAATATACTGGTGACAGAGACGGTCCAGATGAATTGAAAGCAAAGAAGTTTACAAAACCAATAGCACTTTTCACGGAAGATGCTCTTTGAAGATTCGTTCGATGAAACCTGCTGGGGCTTCCTCAGATTGGCATAACGACAGCTTCCATCGAGCAGATTTTGGCAGCAGGTCAGTAAGTTGTTCTTGAACTGACTTCTCTCCGTCAAATATTGACAGTACGCCAGTTTTGACATAATATTGTATTATAAACTTTCCTTTAGAAATATCTGTAAGTTTTGAAGTTATATTTTTGTCTGCTTCAAGAACTTTCACCATTTCAGTTATACCAACTTTCTTGCTTTATGAAAATATTTTGGTTCAGCAAAGACTGCTATTCTATAACATTTACCATTGTTTGTATAAAGAACTATTCTGTCAATGTATTTGTATTGTTTGTGTGTGTAAACTTTGTTCTGCTTCAATTCGAAGAGATACTCGAATACGTCCATCTTTTATTCTAAGTAAAATGTCATTTCCGAAAATAGAAGCGTAAGTGTTTCAAAAGGTTTAATGGCGGTGGCAGATGTGAAGTTAAATTCACCAACTCAAACAAACAGTCAAAGTGTTATTGTCAATGTCAAAGACAGAGATGTTGAAGTGGGGAAACCATACGAGGACGAAGATGGTATAACAATTGTTCCTGTAAAAGAACAACCAACATATCCTGAAGTTAGCAGAGACTTAAGTTTGTGCAGATATTCGAACGACTACCAACAACTGAAAGACAAACTTCAAACTCAGGAGAAGATTTGTCAAGCTTTAAGTTAATGTTAAACTTGGTCGAACACAACCCTGTAAAGTGAACTCATATGTCATTGCACCTCATGAAGTTTTGAAAGAACTATTGAAACTTTTGACAGAGGCAGACGATATAAACATCAAAGAAATAGAACCCGACATTAGTTGCTGTGGTGTTTCATATAATGTCATTGAAAGATATACGTTATGAAAGGAGGTGAAACGTTGAACTTAAAGTATAGTTTCCCAGACGTATAAAATATTTGACGACCACAACATTTCATTAAAATTTATTTGCTAAGTAAAAATGTCAAAACTTCTTGAAAGATGTTTGAAGAAAAATAATATAGACTTTATTTCATGTAAAGGACTTTTACAACCTTTTGAACGATATGAAAGACCCTGTTTTGTTTGTTCGTGTAGACAAAGGAAAGTTCTTGTTACAAAATATTTGAACTTCTTAGACAGAGAACTTCGAAACGCCATGTGAAAGTTTAGATGAAGTTCTTCTCCACTTTCAGAAAACTTTTAAATATATATAAATGGCAGAAGATATATAATGTTTTATACTATTACGACTAAAAAACCCTGAGGTCATATAATTCTATAACAACAAACTTACAAAGTCCTCAAGGACGATATTGTAAACTAACCTTAAACACAATGACGACTAAAGCCTGTTTTGCTCTTTTGACACCAGAAGACTTTATTGTTGTGAATGGTAAAAAAATACTCCTTTGAAGATACTTACTCAGATATACCACCAACAGGTTTTGTTGACTTATTTAATACTTTAAGTACGGGTGTAACATGTGCTGCAACTAGAGCAGGTTTCATTATGTTTGGATGTCCGACTGAGTTTTACTATAAACGATATGAGCTATAATACAAAACTTATTTCTGGTTTTTACTACCAACAGTTTCCTATAACAGGAAAAGTGTCATACAAGGAATGTCTATTCCATTGACATTAAGCACACCAATCTTATATATTGTTTAAACTTAGGTTCAAAGTGTTATTCGAATGTTGACAGAAACTATTATGACCAAAAGATACTTATGCGTATAAACAATACTTTCTCTGCTGGTTTGCCTATTGTTCATTCGAATGCAGAATTTTCAACCTTAGTGAACTCAAACACTTTGGCAAGTATAACGTTGACATTAGTTGACGATTTGTTCCTGTAAAATTTTATGTCCTATGTATTTGTCAATGACGGCAGAAAGTTTCGAATTGGAAGATGCAACTGGTGAAAGTATTGTATTACAAGAACAACTTCAACAACAAATAGCTCAAGAACAACAAATGCAACAAATGCAACAACAAGTCAAGAATAAAAAAAAATATTTTTTTTTATTTTTATAAAAATGTACAGAATAGATGTTTCAGATTTTTATGACTTCCAAGCATTCAGAAATATGTGTCCATTTCGAGACTATAACAAAGCAGTCGAGAATTTGAAACGTTTAGTCATTTATGTCGACTCTGCCCCAGAATGTTATGTTATGAAAGAATGGGATGTAGTCTTTAACAAACCAAGAGCAACAATAGTTTCAGAACAAGAATGTAGACAGAAACTTAAGAAAATAAAAGTTGTACAAGTTGGCATGAAGATGTTAGATGCTTGGGATATCTTATTGTCAAAGTTAGAAGATTTTTCAGTTCGAGGTATAAAGTTCTATACACCTTCTCCAAACTTCTATTCTATCTTCACTGGATATAAATACGAACAAGTAGAATGGAAAGAAAATATTATAGAAGCTTGGTTAGACCATGTCAAAGAAATTATATGCAATGGAAACGAAAGAGTCTATGAGTATATCTTATGTTGGTTTGCAAACATCTTACAACATCCAAGTGCTAAAAATGAAACTGCTCTCATTATAATTGGAAAACAAGGAACTGGTAAGAACACATTCTTTACAGATATTTTGTGCAAACTGTTAGAAGGTTATTCGAACCCGAATATGACAAACTTAGAAAACATCTGTGGCAAGTTTAACTCCTCAATAGAGAATATGAAACTTATAGTTTGCAATGAACTTCAAAGTATAGATACAACAAAAGTTTTGAACTCAGATGCTTTGAAGAGTCTTATAACAGACAAAGTTGGAGTTGTTGAAAGAAAATATAAAGACCAAAGAGTTTGTGAAAATGTTGCAAACTTCATTATGGTTTCAAACAATGCTGTTCCGATGAAATTAGAAAGTTCTGACAGAAGATATGTAGTTGTCAGAACGTCAGATTCTCATATGCAAGATACAGAATATTTTGACGACTTAGCAGAAACTTTGACATCTGACTTTTACAACCACTTGTTCTCATATTTTATGACATTAGATATTTCAAAGTTCAATCCAAGACAAATTCCACATACCGAAGAGAGACAAACATTGTTAGAAGCAAACAAGAGTGTATATGAACTGTTCATAGATGAAACTGACTTTGTGTCATTAGATGAAAGGTCATTGTACGATTCGTATAAACAATATTGTCAAGAATATGGTTATATGACAGCGTCTAAACGAACATTCTTGGCAAATTGTCAAAAGTCTTTTAGACGTACAGAATGGTGTATATACAAAGAAAAATTTTTATGAGTAAATTTAAAAAAAAATATTTTTTTATCCGATAGAAAAGATGACGAAATTCATCTCAGTAAACAAGTACATGTCAGGACTTAAAGAAGAACTAGACCCATTCACATATTTGAATGTTTACTTCTACCATTTTGAAAAGTCTTCATTCAGCAGCAAGTTTGGAACATCGAACCAGTTAAGTTTGCTATTGTGACTAAAAATGGTGCGAAATTTGAAGACTTAGACATAGAAGGTTTGTTAGCAGTCAAAGAAAGTTTTGACAGAAGGTTTTCAAACCTTAAAGAAGGCAAAGCATACAAACTTGTTATACCTTATGAACCAAAGAAAGCAGACGACTATGAATATTATGAGTCTAAGATAGTTGAAGTTCAAGGTAAATTGGGTAAAAAGATTTTAGAGTCTAAGCCAGTGTTTGCTCCTAAAGAGGAAGAGAACATTGACATTGACCCAGAAATGTTCTAAAAATAAAATTTTATTTTTACATGTCAAATTTCTTTTTCTCTGGAACTGGTTCAGGTTCTTTCTTCTCTTCTTCTACTTTCTTTTCTTTCTTTTCTCTCTTCTTCTTTTCTGGTGGAGTTATGTCAAACTTCTCAGAACCATATTTTTGTAAAAGTTCTTTGTCCTTTAATAGCTCTTCTATTCTGTTTTCTATTTCATCTTCAAGAACAGCGCATGTGTCTTCTTTGCATTCTAAGAACTTTTGTTGGACTTCATCTTTCCAATCGGCGTCATCTCTGTCAACAAGGCTGTCATTGACAAATTTTAAGACTGCTCTGCTTAATGTTTTATGGTTCTTGTCATATTCCCAGAAACAGAACTTTAGAACAAATTCACCTTTCTTGTTTACACTATGTAAGATTTTATGGTCGACAGATGTTTTGCTGTCAAAAAGTTTGTCTCGAATATAGATAGCGAAATCGCTAGACATTTTCTAAAAAGATAAAAATTTTAATTTTTCTAAAAATATGTTAGAAAAAAAGTTTGCTGACATTGACAAGAAATTTTGAGAATGTTTTAAACAAGAACAAGAGGAAGTTAGAAAATGCTCAGATAAAGCCTATACATGACAAGTTCTTATTTGCTCAGAATGGTATAACAGGTCTAATTGCACCACCTGGGTCTGGTAAGACTTTCACTTATCTTAAAATGGCTGCACAACAACAAGAACTAGATGAGAAGAACCCATTCTATGAGTTAGTTGTTATTTGTGTACTTCTGGTCAATTTGACCAAACCGTCAATTCGTTCAAAGATATTATAAAGAAGTCTAAGTTAGTATGTATAAAGGATACTGAGTTGTTAGATTGGATAAAGAAGTACCAAAGAAGAGTTTTGAAGTATAATGCTATAAATGAGTATATAAATTCGAAGTTTAAAGACCCAAATGAGGAAATGCAGAGAATATTAGAGAAGAAACACTTCAGAAACAAACAGAAAGAGATAGAATACATTTCGAAGAAATTGCAATCTTACGATTGGAAGACATACCCTCATAGATGTCTTCTTTTTTAGATGATTTCGCCTCTCATCCTTTGTTAAAGAATAGAGACCAAGATATGTGTCGAATTCTTAAGAAGCTCAGACACTTTAACATCTCAGTTGTCATTTGTGTACAGACAGCAAAGAGTTTAAGTAAGGATGTTAAAAGAATACTTACTGACATTATACTTTTCCCCGGATTGTCCGACGACGATTTCATGGAACTTATGAAAGAGTCCATGGCAGGTAAGTTTGACAGACATGAACTATGGGAGAAGTACAAAGTCATACAAGACCCTCATACTTCTTTCAGAATTCATATCTACGCAAACAAAGTTCAAATTGTAAAAAGTCAAGCTTGAAAAATGTAAGTGTTTAGTCTTAGTAAGTCTGTTGTGGTGCTGGGCTGTCGGTCTTCTTCTGGCTTTGGAAGGCATTCAGGAAGAGGAACGTCAGTCATCCGTTTGTGTCCTGTCGGAAGGAAAAACTTTTTCTGTCGGAAGGAAAAACTTTTTCTGAAGTTCGACCAAAAAGTTCTCAATTTTCGAAAATTTGAATGGTTTACGGACGGACAACTGGAAAATTTTTTCTTGTCGTCGGGAAAAATTTTTTCTGTCGGAAGGAAAAACTTTTTCTGTCGGAAGGAAAAACTTTTTCTGTCGGATGGAAGGACTCGGAATGCCAGAAGGATTTGACGAGGCAATTTACCTAATTGAGCTACTTGAGCCATCTGAAGTCAAGCGTAAAAATAAAGAGTGCAATTTACTCTACTTGTTTGAAGTTGTCAAAATACTCTGTTATTTTTTCCTTCAGTAGCGGTAAGTCTTCTTTGAAGGTAAGTATTGTACAACCTTTCATATCATAGTGTGTTTGAGGTAACGTATCTTGAACTATTTGTTTCACATCTTCATTTGGGGTCATTGAAATCGGTAAGTTTTCGCGATAGAACCAATTTCTGTCAGATTTGTAAATCTTAGCAAGGTCGTAAAAGCTTTTGTTGTTTCTTCTGACTAAATGCAACATAACCATGTCACTGTCTTCTTCTTTCTCCATATCTTCAGTATAAATCATATACTTATAGTTCTTTTCCTTTCCTTTTGGTACCGAACGTGGTATTCTTTTCTGAATGTTTTTGTCTTTTGCTTCAATGACTTCATCTTTTGCTTCAAGCTTGTTTTCCATCTCTTCACGTTCTTGTCTATGAATTTCGTCAAGAAGTTTGTAAACATGCCATGCATAACGAGGCGAAGCCCACATTGCAACTGCATTTACTAAAAGTCTATGTACATAATATCCTCTTAAATTTATTGGCAAATTTTTACGATTTTCATGTGTTTTATGCAAGACCGAAAAAAGTCGGTCTAGAGAAATTTCACTCAAAAGTTCTTGTGTGCTTTGGTTTTTGAACCAGTCGTCTGCGTGTTTAGTGTCTGGAGCAAAACATGCTGTCAAAATACTTTGCATTTGGTACATATCGTCTTTGACCGAACGAATGAGACGTAATTGTTTGTTAAACTGTATGTACTCATATTCTTCATTTATGGCTTCATGAACGATAGCAGTTGTTGTGTTCTCTGATGTTGACATATCTGTCCTTACATACAAAATAAAAAAATAAATAAAAATAAAACTAACTTTATTTTTTCTATCTTAAGGAAATTCACTGTTTTCATAGAGTTTTGGCGACTAAGGTTTCTTACGTACTCGCTGTTCTTCACTGTTTTCATAGAGTTTTAGGCGACCCAGAAAAAAGTCGGTCTCGCTGTGCTTCATGATTTTCATAGAGTTTTGGCGACTAAGGTTTCTTACCTACTCGCTGTTCTTCACTGTTTTCATACGGAATCTCTTCTCTCGGTTTTCCGAGGGAAGCAATCTTATGCCATTTTACTCAGATTTTTGTGCTGAATTCAGCAAAAATATATTTTAGGGTAGAAGGTTAGATCTAACCTGTTTTCTAACCTGTTTTCTACCCTCGTGAATTTTCATGATTTCATCGTACATGTTTTGTCAAGACTTCTTCGTAATGAGCGTAAATCAGACAAAAATATATTTTAGGGTAGATGGTTAGATCTAACCTGTTTTCTAACCTCTTTTCTCACCTCATGAATTTTCATGATTTCATCGTATATGTTTTGTCAAGACTTCTTCGTAAATGTTTTGTCAAACATGAACGTATATGTTTTGTCAAACATGAACGTATATGTTTTGTCAAGACTTCTTCGTAAATGTTTTGTCAAAACTTCTTCGTACATGTTTTGTCAAAACTTCTTCGTAATGAGCGTAAATCAGACAAAAATATATTTTAGGGTAGAAGGTTAGATCTAACCTGTTTTCTAACCTGTTTTCTACCCTCGTGAATTTTCATGAATTTTCCCGAAATAAAAAATAAAGTTAGTTTTATTTCATTTATTTTGTATGTAAAGACATGATTTCAGGGATTTTTTTGACGAAGTGAAGGTTGACACTTCGTCAAATTTTATAAAAAAATTAGCGTTATTTTCTGACTTTCACAAAAGACCAAAAATAAACGCTTTACATGTATTTTTCAGCAACTTCGTCAAATAATTTTATAGCTTTATCTATCTCATCTACTTCAAACGTTTCTTTACCTTTTATGGGAGCACCATACATTTTCTCAAACTTTTCAAGTAGTTCTGTTTCTGCAGCTCTCATATCATTAGCAAACACAACCTTGACTCTATTGACTGTACTGTCATATCTTTGAGTTATATTATATGTTCTTCCTATCTTATATCTTTTTGTATTGAAGTCCTTCGGTTTCTGAACGATGTAAAGTAAGCCTTCACTGCAACGTTCCGTATCGAATGAACCATATGTTATGAAGTTATATCCAACAACTGGGTCTAACCATAACAAAACTATTGGTATAAGACTTTTGTCTATAAGATATGCTGTAGTTCCATAGAATCTTACCGATATCATAAGCTCAGGATTTCTTGTCAAAATTTTCTGAGTAGAAGCAATTCTAACCCAGTCCTTCGGTCTCTTTCCAGATGGAGATAAAATGTCTGACAAAGAATATTTGTTGTATTTCTTTGAGTATCTTACGTTTAAATCACCTATTCTAACCAATTTGGTGTCATTGTCTATCTTTTTAACTGTTTCAAACTCAATGTTTGACATTTCTGTCTTTAAGTCTGCATAGTCGTTTCTCATTCTTTCTATCTCTTTGACGGAGTAGTTATATCTCCTCATTGCTGCCTTACATTTTGAACATTGCGGGTTCATTTTTGCGTTATATTCTGAAACCTTACCTGCTAGAACAACCAAGGCGTCAATTGCTCTCTTCATCTCAAAAGCTGCTGGTTTTATTTGTTTGTTCCATATTTTACATCTTTTATCTTTATCTCTTATCTGCCATACACATTCAGCAACTAACGAAACAAAGTTGTCGTAGGTCTTAAATTCTTCAGATTTATATATGTCAGAAACATTCTTATATACCATGTCGCAATCTTTGTCCATAACCTTATGGTTGCAATGAAATCCAAGGAATTCATAGTTTACCTTTCGTATGAACTTCTTTATTTCTACTGAGTCAGTTGGTTTCACTTCAATTTCATCGAATTCAGGAATAGTGAGCTTTTGTTGTTGGATTTCAGGCAATTTGGGTAAATGTTCCACCAGGTCCTGCATGTCGTAAAGATACTGTTCATTTTGTTCATCTTTCGCACAACAGTCCAAAGTACTTGTTAAAAGTTCCTGCTTTATCTTCTGGATTTCTGTTTCAAAAGTATATGAAGAAGGAATGAAGCTTTTCATTTCTACTAACATAGATGTTGGATTCATGACTAACGAGTTTGGTGCTGTTGTTTGAATTGTTGTTGCTTCGACTGACATTTCTGTTCTTTTATACAAAATAAAAAAAAATAAAAAAATAAAACTAACTTTATTTTTTATTTCGGGAAAATTCATGAAAATTCAAGAGGGTAGAAATGAGGTTAGAAAACAGGTTAGATCTAACCTTCTACCCTAAATTATATTTTTGGGTCCTTTACGCTCATTACGATGAAGAAGTCTTGACAAAACATTTACGAAGAAGTCATGAAAATTCAAGAGGGTAGAAATGAGGTTAGAAAACAGGTTAGATCTAACCTTCTACCCTAAATTATATTTTTGGGTCCTTTACGCTCATTACGATGAAGAAGTCTTGACAAAACATTTACGAAGAAGTCTTGACAAAACATTTACGAAGAAGTCATGACAAAACATTTACGAAGAAGTCATGACAAATTCAAGAGGGTAGAAAACAGGTTAGAAAACAGGTTAGATCTAACCTTCTACCCTAAATTATATTTTTGGGTCCTTTACACTCATTACGAAGAAGTCTTGACAAAACATTTACGAAGAAGTCTTGACAAAACATTTACGAAGAAGTCTTGACAAAACATTTACGAAGAAGTCTTGACAAAACATTTACGAAGAAGTCTTGACAAAACATTTACGAAGAAGTCTTGACAAATTCAAGAGGGTAGAAAACGTGTTAGAAAACGTGTTAGATCTAACCATCTACCCGACATTCTCGTCAAATACAAAAAAATACAAAAAATGACACTTTTTCATTATATAACTGTTATTTTTTGACGAAGTGAACGTTTGCACTTCGTCAAAAAAATCCCTGAAATCATATCTTACATACAAAAAAATGAAAAAAATGACACTTTTTCATTAGATAACTGTTATTTTTTGACGAAGTGAACGTTTGCACTTCGTCAAAAAAATCCCTGAAATCATATCTTACATACAAAAAAATGAAGAATAAATGAAATAAAACTAACTTTATTTTTTCTATCTTAAGGAAATTCATGAAAATTCAAGAGGTTAGAAAACGTGTTAGAAAACGTGTTAGATCTAACCTCTTCACCTAAATTATATTTTTGGTGTAAATTTCATTGACTGACTGACTGACGGCACAAAGTGGCATAACGAAAACATTTACGAAGAAGTCTTGACAAAACATTTACGAAGAAGTCTTGACAAATTCAAGAGGTGAAAAAAGAGGTTAGAAAACGTGTTAGATCTCACCTCTTCACCTAAACATTATTTTTGTCTGATTTACGCTCATTACGATGAAGAAATCATGACAAAACATGTACGATGAAGTTTTGACAAAACATGTACGAAGAAGTCTTGACAAAACATGTACGTTCATGTTTGACAAAGCATGTACGATGAAGAAATCATGACAAAACATGTACGATGAAGTTTTGACAAAACATGTACGAAGAAGTCTTGACAAAACATGTACGTTCATGTTTGACAAAACATTTACGAAGAAGTCTTGACAAAGCATGTACGAAGAAGTCATGACAAAACATTTACGAAGAAGTCTTGACAAAACATTTACACTCATTACGAAGAAGTCTTGACAAAACATTTACGAAGAAGTCATGACAAAACATTTACGAAGAAGTCATGACAAATTCAAGAGGGTAGAAAACAGGTTAGAAAACAGGTTAGATCTAACCTTCTACCCTAAATTATATTTTTGGGTCCTTTACACTCATTACGATGAAGTCTTGACAAAACATTTACGAAGAAGTCATGAAAATTCAAGAGGGTAGAAAACAGGTTAGAAAACAGGTTAGATCTAACCTTCTACCCGACATTCTCGTCAAATACAAAAAAATACAAAAAATGACACTTTTTCATTATATAACTGTTATTTTTTGACGAAGTGAACGTTTGCACTTCGTCAAAAAAATCCCTGAAATCATATCTTTACATACAAAATAAAACTAACTTTATTTTTTATTTCGGGAAAATTCATGAAAATTCAAGAGGTGAAAAAAGAGGTTAGAAAACAGGTTAGATCTAACCTCTTCACCTAAATTATATTTTTGGTCCGGGAACAACTTTCTCTCAATTGGAGCTGTAGCATACTCTTTGCGTAAGCGGTTCAGACCTTCTTCGAACTCTTGGTCTCTCTTCGATTTGGATTGAGATTGGAATTGCTGGGGTGGAGCTTGCTGGAACATCCAAGGGTTGGGGCAGTAAGGCATAGGCAGAGGAGGGTAGTTCGGGAAGCCTTGTGGTGGGTAGTAACCTTGAGGTGGAAATTGGTAGAAATTCGGAGGTACTTGCTGGAACTGAGGTTGCTGAGGAGACTGTTGTGGTTCTTTAGGTTCCTCTGGTTCGGGAATGGACTCGGTTGGTGGAACGTCAGTCATCTGTTTGTGTCCTGTCGGAAGGAAAAACTTTTTCTGTCGGAAGGAAAACTTTTTCTGTCGGAAGGAAAAAATTTTTCTGTTGGAAGGAAAATTTTTCTGAAGTTCGACCAAAAAGTTCTCAATTTTCGAAAATTTGAATGGTTTACGGACGGACAACTGGAAAATTTTTTCTTGTCGTCGGGAAAAATTTTTTCTGTCGGAAGGAAAAATTTTTTCTGTCGGAAGGAAAAACTTTTTCTGTCAGAAGGAAAAACTTTTTCTGTCGGAAGGAAAAAATTTTTC